AGATGTTTCACCGGCTTCGTCAGTGAGTCTCGCCATTCTTAGCACTACAGAACAACTCGTCAGAGAGACCAAACGTGTGCTAAACAGTTGTGGTATCTCCCCTTCTACCCTGGGCTCTTCACATTTCCTATATCCTTCTATCACGCTTTCACTGTTACTATTTTTACCGTGCTTATTTCGATGTAGTGTGATGTGCTCCTTTGCGCGGAATTCATTAAAACCCTCCACACTCCGCGCTGTCGTTTTCACCCTCTTTAACATTGTGCTGGGAATGTTGATCAGAGTCTGCTATATTTTTACGCAGTCCTTCCCCAAGTCCTATCACAGTCTCTCTCTTGTACCGTAAGATCCGTCTTCTCTCCCTGGTTCACGTATTTCACTCGACACCTGCCACCCCATCTGTTCTACTCGAGGCGTTATTCACCCTCCCCTGCGTCTGCGTAGGGGAGGCTCAAATCTCTGAGTAAGTCTCATCGACAAGCCTTTGCTACATGAACAATGTCTATGGTACAACAGACCTACTGTTAGCCAACCAGCTCGTCTCCGCCGCGTCTATCCTGTCTCTATCTCTAATACTAAGGCTATGAATTGCTATGCTCTAGCTGCTTGTGTGCAACCCACAAATATTGTGGTACTGCTTGCCTTGATTAGCTTCAATGTTGAACCACAACGTTTGTGGGTTGGCAGAAGGAGAGATACCACAACTGTTTAGCACACGTTTGGTCAAAGGATCGGCTTCAATTATCTCTTTTACGAGTTGTTGAGTGGTGCTAAGAATGGCGAGACTCACTGATGATGCCGGCGAAATGTTTGGGAATGTGCCACGTCCACGGTCCTACTCTGGAAATGATCATGCGCACAATGGACTCCGGGTTAGGTGCGCTCCTTTAAATCTTGCTACCAATATGACCAAGTTGTGAAAACAAGGTCAAACAACCTATATACAACGAGAGGAGACTGCGACCACACAAAAGGCCACACAATCTTGGTCTTCATAACTTCGATTAAACTATGGAAGTAGGATTGCCAAATAATTCACTGATTACAACCGGACAATTGAGATAATTGTAAGAAAATCCTGCTATTTGCTCCCCAATTCTCCGATCTAATGAGGAAGTGTCATTCGGACACAGTTAATAAAATAATTTATCACGCCTCCATCCAGAAATTAGAGGAAAGTTATGATACGGAGGGGCGTAAACTATTTAAGTTCATTGGTCTCAAGTCTAGATTAAGGAAGGATCTAGGTAGGGTTCTAACTGGATGATTGTATTGGAACTGTTGGTGAGTTTCGATGTACAATCTATTTACACAAACATCTCAGGTGAGAAGGCGATAAGCGCCATAATGGAGATATTGGAACGAGAAGAGGACATCATGGAGGCAGAACGGATACGGAAGAAGTCGTTAATACGACTAATCAACCTGACAGTTGACAACATATTTCACATTTAACGGCATTATCTATGAGCAAATATTTAGACTACAGTTGGAATCTCCACTCTTACATATTTTGGCAAATATGTACATATACATGTTGGATAGGGAATTCGAGAAGTCACCACTGCAACCAAGAGTGCTCATGCGATACTTGGATGACTACTTTGCACTTTGTTCACATGGTAAGGAAAATCTAGATGAATTTCTCAATTTCACTACCGAATTTGATGGAAGAATTAAATTCGCAATGGATGTAGAGGAGGATGAACGACTACCCTTTCTGGATATTGAAGTCATGAGCTCCAACGGGATATTGAAGAGGAGACTATACAGAAAGAATTCATATGCGGGAATAATCCTTTATTTTCAGTCCCATCATGACTACAGACTGAAGATCGGAATATTGAGGATATTGATTATCACAAGTCTATGACTAACAGACAAAGAGTTCTGGGGCGAGGAATTGGAGAAACTGAAACGAATTTGCGTTAGTAACGGATACCCCAGAGCATTTATAGAAAAAAAATTTATGGTTATAAAGGGCAGATTTCTACTCGAAATTTATGAAAATCGGATCAGGAATCAGGATGACAACAAAAAATGGATTTGCCTACCCTCATCAGAACTGAGCCAACAATTTCGAGCGTTACTAAGGAAATGAAATATAAATGTGATAATAAAAGAGAAGATAATACTTTTTACCAGTCTGCCGACGCAACACC